TCAACTCTATAAAGTGAAAGTCGTGAAAAAAGATCAATTTTCTAGATAAAATGGCCGCTGTTTAGGCCGCCATCTTAAATTTTGAAATTTTAACCTCATAACTATATAGCCCACCTATTGGCGCATCCGACGCACTTTTTATTATTTTTCTAGCCGCAATAGTGACTGCGCTAGAGTCCAAAACGTGAATAGTGGGCATTAAATCTTCAACCCGCTGTAGCTGCCGGGGTTGCCAGGTGTAGGCAATGAAAACAGTCAAATGTGATTTCGGGATGCGCCCTCCATCAACGGATACCAATTTTCAAGTTCTAAAATTGTTCCTTTAACAGTTACAGTTTTTGGGGTAAATCTCAATAACTACCCTAAAATCGGGTAATTTTTTTCCACCATATGAAAGAATCTATAGAGATACACAATCGCTCCATACATGCCAAACACCTGCGGGGTTGCCAAGTCGGTCAAAATCGAGGTTGAATTTCAAACGTTGTTTGCTCTCAGTGTTGCCAGTCGATCGTTCTATTTTTTCCATCGGGTATCTTGAAAAGTTAAAATTAAAATATTTGCATCAAAAAAGTTTAAAAATTCGACAAAAATTGTTTCCTCAAAAATCTCATAAAGTATCAAAAATTTTCAAGTTTTTTTTTCGCCTGGCAGCACTTTAACCACTTGCCTAAAAAATGTTTCCCCGGAAGTACTCTGACAAATGTCGTCAAGTGCGTCAAAATCGGCTCAATGCGGTGACGATACCCAATTTTACGGATAAATCGGCCGCTGGTTTGGCGGCCATCTTGAATTTTAAAAATCCGGCTCCGTACCGGTGTGGCCAACTCGATAGCGCATCCGATGCAGTTTATACCATTTTCCTAGTGGCAATACCGACTGCGCTAGAGTCGGCAAAGTAAAAAAAGGGTAAAATTTTTCAAATCGCCGTAACCACCAAGGTTGCCAGGTGACGACAATGAAAATGGTCAAATGTCATTTCGGGGAGTGCCCTCTATCAAAGAAAAGCATTTTTGAAATTCCCAATCTGCTCCTTCTTCTTTTCACCTTTTTGGGGTAAATCTCCGAAATTACCCTAAAATCGGGGAAAATTTTCACCTCATACAAAAGAGCCAGCAGTGATCCACGATCGGTCCTTACCAAGCGAAGAGCTACAATGTTGCCATGTAGGCTAAAAGTGCGTTTGAATTTTTCGAAAAAGTGAAAAAATCACAAAATGGCCGCTGCCGGCGGCGCCATATTGATTTTCCCGAGTTTCATAATTTTCCCATAGTCACGACTATATCAGGCAAGGGACCTCATTCACAGATTTTCTCCGCTGGCCACCCAGGTTCCCAAACAATTCGGGTTATGAGGGCATGTCGAAAAACACGTTTTCTACCGTTGAGCCCAGGGTTGTCAGCTCGCGGAAACGAAAACTACCAAAAATTATAGGGCTCCCCCGGCGCCATAACGCATCGAGTCTGTTTTCCACGAAAAGTGCGTATTTCCAAAATTCACTTTTCTCCCAAAATCTCCTAAACTACCACGAAAATGGTAGAAATTATTACCAACGTGAAAAGTTAGCAGCAAGTTCCACGACCACCCCGTACAACGCAAACCCGTCCGATGCCGCCATCTTGGAGAAAATCTCACTGGAAAATGGCGATTTTTCATTGCCGAAACAAAATGGCCGCCCCTGCCGCCGCCATGCTGATGCGCAAATGAAAACTCCCCGTACGTGAAAATCGACTATAATTCCGAGTCGCCGACGTAAAAATCCCCCCTCCAAACCCACCACAAAAGAAACGACGATCGCCCGAACAGAGGTCGAAAAATGCCAATTTTTCATGTGAAATATCTCGGCCGCCATTTTGTTTTTTTAATCAAACCTTTTTTCAGTGTCATTTTTTTAGCTAAATCTACGACCATTTTGAATATCGTAATCGTAGAGTGAATAATGTAGAAACTAAAAAAATCATCTCGCCGCCATTTTGTTTTTTGGCTGTACCGATATGCCATTTCAACTCATTTTAAAAAAATATAGTAAGTCTCTATACATGAAAATGTCATTTTCGCCCTCTTTCTACCCGAAAAAAGCATGGAGTGAGTGAGTGAGTCAGTCAGTGGTAATTAAGCTTTATATATTATAGATATAGATTGTAATTTATATAGTTTGTCCATAGGTACACTACCGTCCATAGGAACATTTAGTGTTGTCTATAGGTACAATACATGTTTGTACCTGTGGACAAAATGGGATTTTTTTAAACATGTTAATTTCTCAGAAACGAATACATTTTTCCTAACTAAAACTGTTAATTATTAAGAATTAATTAGTAACTAAGCCGAAAATTATGATAACGTATACTAAAAATAAACAGATTTTTCTAAAAAAATATGTTTGTTTCTAATTACGGCAAATGTCCACAGGTAAAGCACATAACCCTAAATTACACTATTATGAAAAAACACAATGAATTTTACTCATAGTGATAATATTTTGAATGAAACAAAAGATAATAGGCTTTAGAATTTTAACTTAAAAACTTTAGTACTGTCTTACTCTTTGTTTTTATCCAAAGACGGTCTGTAGTTGTATTAATACCCTTTTGTTAATGTTTAATGTTTAAATAGACAATAAAGTTAGAAAATCCCGCATTTGGAATGTGTTAGGGCATTATTATTTATTTCACTTATTCATAAATGAAAATCAAATTGAAGTAGGACTAGTGAAAATTTTGTATAAAAATCAACAAAACCATGTAATCTTGAGAGATTACTAACGATTATAAACGTTCATTACTTTTTACTTGAGAACTAATACGATTATAACTGAGTGTACGTAAGGGGGCACTTACAAAAAAAACATTCACTTTTTGATTATATCGTATGGAATATAGAACACAACGAACAAAGTTTCGGCAGATTAGATTTAAATTATGATCAGATACCCCTTTCGCTCAGTTCCCCATGCGTAAGTACACTCCAACCGGAAACCTAAAAATATCGAAACGTTGTACTGAGACATCTAATCATAATTTAGATTATAATAATAGCGTATTGTATATTTTCACTGTTTTCAGTTTAAATATAAAATTATATTCTGCAATTCAAGGATTTTGTTGCAGGTATTGAAATATTTAGTATACCAAGTGTTATAAACAGGCAAAAAATTATATTTTCTGTTGTACCGGATAGAGTAAAATTTAGTTTTTTTTAAATTTTATTTTATTATTAAACTTAAACTTTTGGTATTAACTTTAGCAATTTATTATAATAACTATTGCATGCCCTTCAATTTGCTCAAAAACAACACGTGTTAAGCTTAATCATAACAAAGCCCTACATAAAAGGTTATATTGAGTATATCTATCTCACTCACCGCCACGAGAAGGAAAGAGAGCATAAAATATTTAAAAATGGACTTTTTCGCAAACTGCTTATTTATCTCAAGGGTCAATGTGTGGTTTAGTCAGTTCAAGTGCAACCACCGTCCGAGGTACACGTTGTAACTGTGCATCAAATATTCACTTTTCGAATTGTTTCTTATTATAAAAAAAATACGAATTCTGTGCGTGTTGGATTCCTGTCATTGAAGTTGTTTGGGTATGTATTTGTTTTGATATTTGTGTTATTTTCGGTTTTATTTATAAATATTCTATTGACTGTATCCGTGAACAGTGATACAACTCGAGTTGTATCAGATTCGGTTTCTGTGTATTACACTTTTTAATATAAGTCATTGTTCAACTGACACCGTTATACAAGTAAAAGATTAAAATGATATAATTACATTTTTTATGAAACCTTTTTGTATATCTCATTATACTTCATTAAATTAATAATATCAAACAGTTTTTGAGCAATATCGAAATCATTATCTAACAACACTTTTAAATCCAGTGAAAAGTTAACATATTAAATATCGATCAGTCTTCATAGGCGATTAACATAAAATGAAAATGGTAATGCCAGAATGAAAGAAATAATAGATATACATAAAGATAATATATATTTAGCATTTTTTTTTTATCATTTAAATATATACATGTAATATATCCATTCAAAATTATCAAATCAGTCTCAGCTTGTCTAACCATTACGGTAACGGTGATAAGTGTTTGAATCATACAAGATGTTTGACTTTCGATAATACACAACCTTGATGGATCGATAGAGTTTAAATAGTGAATCATTTAGATTTATTAATTCTGAAAAATAAAATTAAGATAGTTACATATCTATAACAATATAGAAAAATATAAGTTGACCGACGATCAATTCGCAGTCTAAAGTAAGGCATGCAACCAGCAAATACTTTAGATTCAATTTATTTTTAATTTTTTTCTTATTCTACCAATTATTTCTTCGATAAATCATATGTAACGATTAACTTAAATAACAAAAAATTCATTTTTGTGAACAGCAACAGTTATCTTATATAATAATATGAAAGTGACTTCGAAATCAAAACGATTTTAGAGTTATATATAGTCGTTCATTATACTAAGATATAGTAAAAGTTCCCATAACTGAAAGGGTTCGTAGTCCCCAAAAACCTAAATCATTGTAAATGATATGTTCTAAAAATTCAACTTTTTTAAACAAAACATGGCTCAAAACTTAGCCTTTGAAGACCAATATATGTTTAAATTCAACACGTATCATTATTCACAGGAGGCACAATGCCGATCTAATATTTATTATTTTATATTTGATAAATCAATTTGTACATAAACATTTTCTACATTTACTACATATATAACATGTCAAACGATTACGACGTGTCCTGTGTTGTCTCTGTCGTTAAAACGTAGGACTTACATTCATATTAGTATATATATTTATATAGATATATATATATATATATTTTTACAGATCTAATCACGTAACTTGTACACAACGAGATGGCATCGTTCAGTGATATCACACGATTCCTGGGGTCAAGCAACAACTTAAAGAAAACAGATGAGTCGCCCATCATGAGAGATTACACTTGTAATCTTCTCAACGATAAAATGAGGAATCTGCCTCTGACCGATACCGTGCAGTCGTTACAATCCGTGCCGTATGATACTGAGGGACACCCCTGGAACAGAGGTATGCCAAACCCCTTCGGTGCCATTGGCTCCGAGTATGCTAGGGCTAGAAACACTAGCGGTAGCAATTCCTCCGGCACATTCACCACAGTGCCTATTGTCTGTTTTCGCTGCGACAACAGTTTAGCAACAACGCGCTGCTACGAGTGCAGTTCACTTTTATGCTACGATTGTTGTCACAAAATCATATCTAAATGTCAGTTGAGAGAACACAAGCTCCTCCCAATATATCAACAGCCATCCAACGGTGTTGCATGTAATTATATCACCAATGACATTGAAGTTAGTTTTTGTGAATTGCACGTCGAACCAGTGAAATTTTTCTGTAAACGATGTACCAATATGATCTGTCAAAAATGTACTTTGAGTTTTCATAAAGAGCATATGTACATGACAATAAAAGGTACTGTTGATACATGGCGCACAGATGTGTTAAAAACCATAGTGGATGCTAAAACTGGCATAAAAGTTATAAAAAACTGCAATAGATCGTGCTATGGCTATGTCAAAAGCTTATGAAAAAAAATCTATGGAAGCCGGAATGCAAATCAAGAGAAATATGCATTGTTATGCTCAGACGATTGGAGATAATCAAAATTATCTTTTCAATGAGGTCGAGACAATGCGTCATAAGAAGAAAAAGGAGTTTACAGAACATATTAATGAACTGCGTGATTTGCTCACCAGTTTAGCTTACATAATTCAAACATTAGTGCGTAGTATGGATTGTAAAGGGATAAATTTGTTTATGGCAAAGGAATATGGTAGATCTCAAGTAGAGCACATCTCATTTATTTTCAAGGATACACATATTCCTAAAGAAAGTATCGATATCATGCCACCTAATTATGAATTATTTAACCGATTGAAAGTGCAATCTAATGTTCAATCGACTGCCGCATATTCCGGTGTAAGTATAAACTCTGATTCAGTCGGTCGAAACACTTACCAGCCTTTGAGGTCAATGCAACTTTCTCAGGCGGCTCAGCTGTATCCTAATCCAAATTATATTGCCAGAACAAGCAATATGAGAATGCCACAAGATTATTCTTTGAGCATAACTTCTACAAATAATCACAAATATACATCCTCCTTGATAACCCGATCAAATACTACTACTGTATGTGGTATCGGACGAGCCATTCCAGCTTACCGGACGTCAGTATCGTTAAAGCCTAACAGAAGTTCAATCCCTGGAGAGCCTATATTTTCATTTGGTCCTGATGGTCAAGGTGAAGGCCAAGTTTCTAGACCGTGGGGAATTTGTATAGACAGAAAAGGCAATATGATAGTTGCTGATAGACGAAATCACCGCATTCAAATTTTCAGTCACGGTGGTGACTTTCGAACCATGTTCGTTTCCAAAGGAACTGGCCCTGGCGAATTTGATTTACCAGCTGGCATTACTACTGACGTTTTTGATAGAATCATTGTCGCAGATAAAGACAACCATAGAGTACAAATATTTTCAATGAACGGAAACTTTATCCTCGAATTCGGATCGTTCGGTAAAAGAAATGGGCAGTTCCGGTATCCATGGGATGTAGCTGTCAATACCATAGGGAACATCGTTGTGACTGACACACTGAATCACCGTATACAATTATTTACAAGCGCGGGTAGATACATTTCCAAATTTGTATTTGATCGAGCTCACCCAACTGCAATGTTGAAAAGTACGACGATTCCGAGAGGTGTGTGCTTCACGACTACAGGCAATATAGCAGTATCCGATTTCCAGAATCATCGCATACTAATCGTAGATTCGACTCTATCAAAAGTTCTATATCGTGTATGGCGTGAAGATTACGGCCTTCGTGAGTTAGATCGTCCATCGGGCATTGTGACCGACGACGAAGGTCATATAATCGTAGCAGATTCGAAAAAGCATCGTTTACTCGTGTTTACTTCCGAGCTCCGTTTACTGGCCACTAAGTATTTAAAGAGTCCAGACCTTGACGACAGTGACCGACCAAGTGACGTAGCGCTAACACCTGAGGGACATTTAGTGGTATTGTTTGAAACGCGACCAATTCGTGAAACTTCTTTGGTTGGCAAACATTTAATCAAAGTATATTGATGTTAATTATATATAAATAAACTAAGTAATGCTAAGGGCCGCATGATTTTTTTTTTATTATTTTAATTGTTGTATGTAGTTTAAGTATGTATCAGTTTTGACGATTCCAGTCAAGCTTAGTTTGTGACTAGAGATATCTATAATAGCAATTTGTAAGCAATATGATTTATGTATGTGATATAATTTTACTTTGTTTGTAAATTTTTTATGGATCAAATCTTTCAAATTTAATTTGCATAATATTTTATAGCTGCACTTTACTATTTTGCTCACGCGGATCACATGATCGATCTACGATGCCTATTTAATTGCCTTTGAGGTATTTTTTTTTTTCAAAATCCGTTGTTAGCGAACCTCTGTTATTGTAATTATTATACGTATTAGTGTACCAAATTTCATCTTCTTCCGTCCAGTACAAGTACAGGTCAAGGAACAACATCGTATTAATTAATAGCGTCCTGTTATTAAACACATTTGTATTATTAGTAATTATTCTATATTAGTAAGTTATATTAAAGTCTGTACAGTAAATAGAATAATAAAAAGTACCTGTTATGAGATGTCAAAACATTAAAGGTCTTTAAATTATTACATATATCAAATTGCTCTGTGATTTTAACAAAAGTATCTTTCTAAAATGTTACATTTAGCGATTTGAAATTACTTGTTTAAAATTAATTGACGCAGATGTCCGTCGATAATTGGAATTCTACACTTTTTATATTTAATTTCAAAAGCATATTAGCTTAAATTTCGGTCTCTAATTTAATTTTTGTCCAGTACGTTCAACAGCTTAGATTCACTCAGAATTTAGTAGTAACAAATAGCGCGATTGTGTTTTTCTGCACGAAAGAACTCAATGTTAATGATGTAATTATCCTTTTTCTTGCTGCTCATATAAGGTTGTATAGGTGCTGTATTTAGTCATAGTATCATAGTGTATAGATAAATTTTTTGGTGTTTTCACATCATAAGAGACGTGCACATAATAACTGAAACAAACGTGTCAAAGAATAGATGGATAAAATAAATATATATCACTTGTAACTGATAGTTTTAGTGTTGTTGTACTGTCATCGGAGCCTATGGCGGTGCCGGCGATGGATTTGATTGCCATCGTCGCCGTCGCTTGTACTTCCTTGAGGTTAAATTTGTGTGTACATGTTGGTATAATTTCATCTATCTGAATCTTAATGCATTTAAAACTGATATACATTTATGTAACGGTGGTCAAACCACTGATTTAGAAGTCTTTTGTCTGACAATAATATTTTCGTCCGTATTATATTTATATGTAATAATTATAAATGTATGTAGATTTAAGTAATGATGAATTTTATGTATCAATTGAATGGTGCTTTATAATGTAATGTCTGTTTTTGTACATTTTATGGGAAAAATTTATTGATTGATAAAAACTTGATTTTTATTTAAACATTTCGTCGGTTATTTCTGAAAACATACTCATTACTATACTACACCATTATGAAGAGTAATTCAAACAGTGAAATAAAAATATTCTTAGCTCGAGAAATCTTCGAATGCGAATGGAAGTTGCAAATCCTCTGGAGCTGGAGCTAGTCTTATTTGTACGAGTATATACACGACATATGGTCCAATAACAGATTGGTTTTAAAATAGTCTACCTGTATAAAAATCATATTGAATATTAAAATTCAAAACAGATTTTAAGAACCATTAAGTTTCATAATTTAATATTAATCATACAAATTTCTTCCCAATATACTAATGTAATATAATATTGCACTATTGCAAAAATGTGTTGTCAATAGGAATACCATTTTAAAGTATCTATTCGCAGAATTCTAGGGCAGGATTTAATAACAGAAAAAATGAGAAAAAAAAATAACAAATATCACGACAACATTAAAACGGTTTCATCGCGTTTGTATTTAGTTTTAGTGACGTTTCGGACCCTTTATAGGTTCCGTGTTGACATAAGACCGAGGTGTTGATTGTCTGTTTAATTAAGAGTAAAGCTACCTTCAAAACAATACAATTGGACACATTTACAATACAATTTCTTTTTTATATTTTATGGCAACGTTTACATTTATTAAATTATCTCATTATACTCCATTATCTACTTCATTAAATTTATAATATCTAACAGTTTTTGAACAATATCGAAATCATTATCTAATAACACTTTTCACTCCAATGAAAAGATAACATTTTAAAGATTGATCAGTCTTCATAGGCGATTTACATAAAATTAGAATGGTAATGCCAGAATGAAAGAAATAATAGATATACATAAAGATAATATATATTTAGCATCTTGTTTTTATCATTTAAATATATAAATGTAATATATCAAAATTATCAAATCAGTCTCAGCTTGTCTAACAATTACGGTAACGGTGATACGTGTTTGATTCAGTTCATCACAATATTAAATCTGTTTATGATTCGTAATTTATTGGTTAAAAGAAATATTAAAATACCGATTTTTATTCTGGAAAGAATGTGTCTAACATTTAAAATGATGTTTATTTATTTGACATAATGTCAGTTATAAAACCGTCGATTAATGTTTAATGACGACGTTTAACTCTAATAAAAGTTCAAATTTTGAAAATGTGTATCAGTAACGTCGCTTTAAACTTTAATTAACGTTTGTGCAATTTGGTGTTAGATACCTATATAAGACACATTTACATTTTGATTACTATAATAATTAATAAATTGTACAAATTTGTAAGCTTAGTAAGAGCAAAAAGTAATGTATATACAAATTTAACATGTCATCTGAGCTACAAATTCATAAACGAAGTAATAGCGGAATAAAACTAATGGAGTACAGCAAATCATTTTTTATTTTAACTCGGTCATCCCAATCATTACCTTCCCTTGGTGTACTTCCATAATTTATTTTAAATTTATTTATTATCTCTCTCACTCTTCACGCCTACTCACAATGTAAGGCTAGTAAAAAGAGAAAGTTGAGCGTATGAAATCTTACTACCCTTACATTCCGTGTTCCACCCAAATATAAATAATAACTTTACAAATTATCACTGTGAGAAAATTGGTCAGGGATATCTTAGTCGACTGATGAACTTATTGCCAGGGGCGGTAGTCTCGACACAGTTTGCGAACGCATTGTCACCGAATTCGGTCGCTAACTCATAGCGATCGTAATTTAACGAATATTGCAAGTCTCTTCATTTAAAGTTGTCGATTTTTGTCGGTGGCGTAGCGAGTTCAACTGTCAAATTAACGAATTTCGCTAGCTCCTTAGCGACCAAATTTGACAGCTCGATAAGTGACTTATGCGATCGCTAATGATATTTTTTTCGATATTTTACGGTATTTCGAGGTATATATATCGGAAATTTAGTCATAAAGATATTTAAAACGTGATGCAACACTTCGGCGAGAATTGAGATCTAAAAAACAGTATAAAAATATTTATCATTATAAATATTTATTATATTCATTGCAGTATGAACAATAAACATGGAGATTGTACTAACTTCTCTTCCTTCTTGACTGCACCTCATTTTAAGTATTGGGAGCCGTATTGCCAATTCATACTAAAATAATAATTAGCATTACGTTAGTAATATATTCTAATAGAAGAGAAGTATAAATCATATCAAAAAAGTGAATTCAAAAAGTGCATACTTAGCAATATTTGGAGCACGCGGAGCCTGCTGCACGTGGGACTCCGCATCTGAATCTCCCACCATGACTCACAACACAAATTATTTCAATAAATTATGTGAAGTTTTTCACGAAACATAGTAACCGTAATAAACAATAATGTTTTGACATATCGATGACATCAAGATGTTGCAAGGAAACATATTTTAATTTCCAATAATAATCAAATTGATTTAACACATTTAATAATTAATTATACTTTTAAAATAAATAAAAAGCAATAATTTTCTAGTACGCATTTTTTTATTATTTTTATTTGCTAAATTGAACATGAAATCATTACTTATAAACAATAAACGTTGTTTTGATTTCCTTAGATTTAAAATACTTTTGTCAGAGGCAACATTTTCTCCTTTAGGAAACTGCACTATGAATACAGATTTTCGATATGTTAGCGTCTGAATAGTTTACGATTTTGTTCGCTAACTCGGTAATAGAGACTTGCATTTGAAGTAACGATCGTTACCGCAAACAATTATTTTCGTTAATATTTGACATTCGATAACTTGCGATCGTATCGCTATTAATGTCGAGACTGCAGCCCCAGGTGAACTCCTAGCAGTACGATGAGATTGTAGCACAAACGTGGCCTCGTAGTTATCTCCGTTGGTTGTAGCACGTCGTAGCACTATGTAGTTCGTAGCAGATTTCTAAAACGGTTGCTTAATTTCTTAACTGTAACTAGTTAAATGAGTAGCTCGGTGGAGTAGTTATAAGCTACACGACCCGCGATGGTTGTTGTTAAGCAACATTCGCAAGGATCGATCATGGGATGAGTGACCCAAATAAAATATATTATCACGAGCTACTACTAACTTTTGCAGTCGTTAACATTCTCCAACTGGACCAGTGTTGAGGGTTATGGCCCATCCTTTTTAACCATCGTCAAGGAATACGTGAGCCCTTGCAAAGGGGACATAAAAGGGGTGATGATGATGAACTAAATATCTCATTTTCCTACCGTAAAGGTCTAAGGATAGATACTTTTCAGAACCCTAATTTATTTCCAGGATTTAAAATGGGTTTAAGAGCGTTTTCATATTGCAAATTGAAATAATATCTGTGGTATTTGCGAATGTACGACGGGAAAAGAAAAATGATTTATTATTTGCTATCAATCATCACATTTATTTATCTTAAAAATTCACAATAATCTTAAAACATTCATATTATACAGAAATTACTTAAAACCTATCTAGAATTACAATTAATAATATAAAAAAAAGTAAAAGCACAGTGTTAGTAAAAACAAAATTCTAAATCGGTGATCTGACCACCGTTATATTAATTCAAACCACTGTAATTCAAATCAGACAATAATACATTACGAGTGATGTATATGCGGTTATACTAAGATGAATAGCCTCTGAGTACATTACAATAATGCTGTAACTATCATTTACGCATAATTATGACATGCTGGTATCAATTATTATATGGTTTCATCAATCATTATTACATTTCTCTTTTCAACTTTAATAACATATTTAAAAAGATTCATGTAAATAAGACAATCTCATACAATTTACACTTTTACAATTTACATCTATACTATAATAAAACAGTAAAATATATACTGAGAATTGTTTATCGACATGCCAATATTCTTAAAGTTAATTCTTGATACCTATATATTATTATAATTATTACATGATTCAAAATGCACTCAAATAAATTTATAGTGATATATTAATTTACTATATTTTTTTAGTAATGTTTTTATATTCTTTCACATTATGATTGTTAACATTCAGCACTAAATATCAATGTAGCATAGTGATAGAAATCAATTGAATATCTTTTTTAATATAACCTTTTTATTTGGCATATCATCATCATCATCATTATCAGCCTTTTTACGTCCCCACTGCAGGGGCTCAGGCCTCCCTTATGGATGGTTAAGGAGGATGAGCCATGACCCTCCACGCTGGCCCAATGCGGATTGAAGGGTATTATTTTGCACATAACTATTATCAATGGCTTATACACTCTTGTGTATAGTTGCTAACATTTTACAATATCTTTATTAGTTGCAACGATAAAGAAAATTTTGAATTATTTTCAAACATCACCCATAACCCATCAGTCAGGAGAATTGCATATCCAAAGAGACATATTTTTAAAGCTGTATTTTTATATTACTTTGCTTTTAATTATCGGCTAGATTTTGAGGTATTTGATTAATAAGTCGAGAAACCAAGTATCGCGTTGTCCTCTCGCCGTACGTATTGTTCGCACGAGTAGTATATAGGCGTTTTCGAGCTATCGTCCTTGTAAATAGGATGGTTAATTTTTTTACGGTGTTGATTAAAATAATTTTCCTTAAATAATTTCATTTTACATTGGATATGTATAGGCAATACCATGCAATGTTTAGATAGGCCAATTTCATTACTGACATATTACATTTTTACAAATGTGGATACAATAGTTTTCAATGTTCTGTATTGAATTGTATACATTTTTAAAGATATGTATTGAATGTGCGACCGTAACTACTGAGACAATACTGAATAATTGAATCTGCTAACGATTGGTATAACATAAGTTTAACCTTGAATGGAATGTGACTTTTTAAAACTTTTAAGTTGGCCAAAAATTGTCTAAGCTTGTTACATATATGATCGATATGTATCGTAGTTCCCAATTAAATTTATGGTCAATAAAGCCTAGGTAAGTTTGGGAGTTGTATTTCTATGAAAGGATAATTACAGTCAACAGTAAGAACCGAGTGTAGACAATTGTGATTATGAGCTTTTATGTCAACCATAGCAGAATTAGTCAGATACGTATATATAAATATTTCTGTTAAAGAAATATGTCCAATAAAATTTAATAGATGGCATGGAACCGGTGATATTTTTAAAATTTTTCTTTTAAGTTAATACGACATGGTAAGAAATATAGGGAACATATAATAAATATCTCATTTTCTTACTTGTAACATTTGTAAATCGAAATAAACTGTAAAATTGCATTTTGTAATTTTATTTACTTAAAATAATATCATTACATCATATATACGAAATTTTTATGCTTTAAGAATTATTTACATTAGTCAGTAGTAATTTACAACTGGATAACAATTAATAGATATTTACAACAACTTTCGCGAGCCGCGGCGCTTATTCACTACGCCACCGAGCTACTTAGTACCCTCCAATCCGCATTGGGCTGGCGTGGAGGGCCTTAACCATCCAAAGCCTGAGCCCCTACAGTTGGGACGTAACAGGGCTAATGATGAATAAATAAAAGCAGTATTAAATATTTAATTCGACAAATATATGCCAATGCAGACTAGTTAATCAAAGAAGATAATTTCATTGTATTTTTAATGTGAAAATAGCTGTATCGTGTACCCCTGATGGTGGTTGACTTGAACCGAGTAAGCCACTGACTGACTTGCAATATTAATAGTTCAGATTGCGCAATAAATTTATTAAAAAGTCACCACAGCCGTTAATTGAATTGGAAGGTAATAAGTGTGCTTATATTAGTATGTACTTTAATGTTGCTTTCATTCATTCAGTAATTATTTACAAATATTCTTGTTTCCAAAAATGTCATTTATCAAATAAATTTAAAAATGCCATTATCACATAAAACTGGAAGTAATAACAAAAATATGCTTTATTGCACAAAACAAAGGACTGTGTTGCCTATGCAACTATTGCAGAGTAAGAAAAATATATAATATTTGTCTAAGAGAAAAATGCTTAAGCATTCACCAGTATTTGTATTTACTAATAAAATTGTTTGTATGATTTTGGTTTTGTATAAATGCAGTGTGTGTCAAAAGAAAATGTGACAAAAACAAATTTGAGACAATAAAAAACTATCAATTAATAAAATTAAAATGAAATCATATGCAATTAATTTCTCAGAATATGGTTAAAAGACAAAATTAAAGTTACGATACATATATAAGAACAAAATCAAAGTTATAGATGTAACTATAAAAAAAATTAAAGAAACTGATTAGTAATGTAATTAGAGATAAAAGATGTTATGGTGTGTTTCCCACTTTTTATAAATACTAAATTTATTTTGAAAATTTAAAAAAAAGAAATTTTAAATATTGATTTGTCTACCATTTATGAATCTTCCAGTGCTGAGATAGCACCAAGTTACTTTATTAACAAAGTTAAACTAGCAATTGATGAAAATACTAAACAAATTAAAATGGCGAAAAGAAATAAGATAGGTACTAAAGCCCTGTATCACTCCTATTTGGCTATTACGTTGTATTTTTATCTGAAGTCGATCTCTGTTTTTAAATAATAATAAATCTTTATTAAGTACAATTAATGTGTACTAAACCAATTGTATGTTAATAGCTGCATTAGTCCAAGACTGTGTTGCAGGTATTAGCGTCCACCTCGAACAGGTAACAAATAGAAGCCACAAATAAAGCAAAACACAAAAACAAAAATACAAATAAGTATACAATGCACCTAAATAATAAATGATTCCACATCATCATAATTAAGTTCTTGTAACCACTCATTTAAAATCAATTTAATTCTACACCTACACCTTTCTATGACACAAATTCTGTCTGATCGTCTAGTGTTTAAAACAAAATAAGGATCATAGGGACAACATCTGTGTTTACAGAATGAATGATTCTGGTGAATTATTGTAATGATTAATATACGAGTAGCGTTGTAAATACGAAATTGGTCAATTATAATAAAAGTTTTATATTTTTTGAATAAATAAATAAACTTTTAAATTGCGTTTTGTCATTTTATTAATTGCACATATTTTTATGTTTTGTTACTTAACATTTCACTGAATTTGATAAAACATCGGATTATAGTAATCGGTCACATTACCCGATGTATCAATTCCGGAACCTTCTCGATTTACATCATGGGGAACATTAGTTAAAATCGATGATTGAGGATTGCCGTAATGATAATAATTGGCAGGTCTAATACTCAAATAAAACCGTGGCTGCGGTCTCATGCTGCTGGTGCTTGCCACATTGTGATCTGAAGGGGGGGTGCCACTGAGCTGTCCGCAAATATAGCATCTACAAGATTGGTGACTTTTGTGATTTAAGGTGTAATCAAGTAATAGATTGGACCTCGTAGAAATTGGCTGTACAACAATTTGTCGTTTTAATTGTTCTATTAAGTATTGATCATGTGGAATAAAGCCGATTCTCTCCTCCTTAATATTCATATTTTCGAACAAAGATGAAATGTTATCCACTTCAGATCTGCCGTTTTCTTTGGCTATAAATAACTCCACGCCATCTGAACGCATACTTTGCACTAATTTGTCGTTAGTTCGAGTTAAACTTTCGAGCATACCACGCAACGCTTTTGTATGGTCAGACAATTCTTTCATCCTCGTCTGTCGCATTCCTTCAAGTTTTTGCAAAAGATACTCTTCGTGTTCTTCTACAGCTTTAGCGAAACACCGCATAGATGTTTTGATTTTATTTTTCACTTCTTCCGCCTCCTTTGCGTAAGTTTTCGACATTGCCGTTGCACGTTCAGTTGCTGTTTTTATTATTTCCATATTGCTGTTTGCGTTTATAATTATCCCAATTACATCTGAGCGATTACTTTTATCAAAAGCTCTATTCATTGGAACAAATTGATGGTCTTTATGATCCAGCAAAGTACATTCATGGCAAATGAAAATACAGCACTCTTTGCAATGATATCTAAATGGATCCCCGTGAAGTTCACAGCACATGATATCTTTTTTATTGTTGATAAAATTTGGCTTGACTCCAAAAAACGAAAATGGGTCTATTGAATAAAGCACGTGATTTTGTACTTGACAGACAGATGTAGGTTTGTAACAGCAAACATTGCACATAAGGTCTTTGCATTGTAGGCAAAGCGTTGTTGACGATCGTTTTTCGCAACCAAAACAGGTTGGTCTCACAATATCTCTTCTGTTTCCACTCTGTTGCTGACTTCTATTTTTTTTTGCCGTTGCATATTCACTGCCTATAGCGCCCAGGGGATTAGGCATGCCACTAACCGAGGGCAGTACATTATCATAAGGTACAGACTCCTCTGACTGCACGGATTCGTTTGATGATGGATTCTCCATTGTATCGGAAACATCAGAAGTAAAGTGTACCGTTATAACCGACTCATCTGGTTCATTGACACTACTGGACGTAGCGCTGGTTGAAGCTGCCGAGGTGGACGGCGTGGTTGAAGCCGATAATTGTAAAGTATTAGGGAGCAAGGACATTCTGCTACGTATACGTCACGTTACTGGAACTGTAAAGAAATGAAAATCTATGTTAATACTAATATGTACATACGTTCTCAATGAAAAATGTTAAAAACATCCACTTTGTCCCTGATACTTTGAGATTGGATCTCAGAGTACCAGAGAGAAAGTGAATTTTTAATGCTGTTGGTTTTTTTTTTATTTTAACGACATTTCGACAACGTTGACAATGAAGGGAGTAGCTCAAGATGATATTATTTTTGGTCACCCATCCCGCAACCGACTCTTGCGATAGTTGCTTAACAACAACGTTCACGGGTCGCGGCGCCTATTCACTACACCACCGAGCTACTTAGTATCCTACAATCCGCATTGGGCCGGCGTGGAAGGCCTTAACCACCCATAAATAAGACCTAAGGCCCTGCAGTTGGGACGTAATAGGGCTCACGATGAATAAGTAAAAGCAGTATTAATATTTAGTTCGAAAAATACATACCCAAAACAATGCAGATTGGTCAATCACAGAAGATAACTTCGTGGTATTTTTAATATAATAATAGCTGTATCGTGTACCCCTGGCGGTAGTTACAATTGAAGTAACTATACCACTGACTGACCTGCAATATTAATAGTGCAGATTGTGCAATAAATGTATTAAAAACTCATCAAAACCTTTAATTTAATTGTTAGTTAATAAGTATGCTTAAACTAGTTATGTAGTTTAATTATGTTTTTATTCGTTTAGTAATTATTTACAAACATTCTTGTTACTAAAATACCATTTAACAAAAAATACAAATGTACAGGAAATCATTACAATAATATCCTTTATTTGCATAACACAGGACTCATGATTACACAGCAAGAAAAATATATAATATTTCTTACAGAAAAATGCTTACAAATTTCCCAGTATTTCTATTTTTACTCGACTACGCAAAAAGGAGGGTTATGAGTTTGGCTGATTTGTATAGATGTAAAATGTACATCTGTTCCCTTATGACTTCGAAACTATTCATCGAAAATCAAATTGTATGACGGAACAATTTGTTTTTTTATGATCAGTAGCATACGACTACGCTGTCCATTGGTCATCGCTATTAATGTAGCTATCGCCATAAAAGATATTTTTTGTTTCAAACTTTTTAGAGCATGTATTAACTAGTAGTCAGCCTTTGGTTTTTAAACTTATTTTTTTATAAATAAAATATAATGAATTATTTGTATGATTTTGTGGTTTTGAATAAATTCAATACATATCAATTGAAAATGTGACATAAATAAGACAGACCTAAAAAAAATAAGGCAATAAAAGAAGTTCAAAACCTTACGTTATCAAAATTTTAAATTCTGAAAAATTAACGACAATGAGCATATATTTTGTAAATCGAAGAAAGAATTTTTTAAATTAGTCCAGTAATTTTGGAGCCAATTTAATCCGAACAAGCAAATAAGAAATGAACAATTTAATTTGTATTTTTTATAATATTAGTATAGATATCCTTAAAGAAGGCAGCAATGAAAATCCAAGTCAACTCATGGACGGACACGGACGCGGATGAATCTTAACAGCACGATATGTTTGTAGCACACCTGAAGACACGTGTTTTACGATGTAGTACTACTACGTATCAATTTATTTTTCCTAGTGGAGTTCAAAAATTTATTTGAAATGGCTGTATCGAGTCAAAATCTTGATAGCTGGAGTCGGCGTGCTCCAATTTGCGGGCATACCAGATCACTTATTGGCAACAAAAAAAACATATATAATAATTGGTTTGTGGTGGCCTGAGTATACTTTTTCGGCTCAAAAGTTCATCTCTTTGTTTTCCCTCATGGATAAAACTCTATCACAATAAGTACCCGTAGTAGACACGATATTATCAAATCAATATAATAAATAAAGTTTATTTAAGGAATATACAATCAAAAACTTTATCTTGCGGCGATCATTTGAAAATTATTTTCATCTCTTATACTTGTGGGTAGTAACACGGCGGGTACAAATAAAATTTAGTAAAATGAGATTTCCTAACGAAATTTCATAAAATAATGTTACTACGTTTGTTGCACTACTGATGCATGTTATTATAAATGTATTGTATTTTCAACCTACAACTACAAACTGTACACATTTTATATTGCTTAACATTTTCAAAAAATACATATGTCAATAACAAACAAAAGATATAAAATTGATGTACAGTTATAAAAAAATACATATATTTCACACAAGGAAATTGCTTCAAAGATTCAACAGTCCGAAATGGGATCATACTTAAGATATTTATAAGCAGTTTTGTAAAGATTACATTACTATTATATTTTTAATACTTAAAATAAAATATTTTTTTCCACTTTTTAATTTTTTGAATAAAAAAATAAGTAAATTGCCTTTTGTAATTTTATATATTGCACATTTTTTTTTTGTGACATAACATAATATCAAAACGAACTTTTTATGAAAATTGTGTTCTTTCAAAATTACACATTACATACTCAATCACAATTTTATTAAAATAAGTTACAACTGAATAATAATTTAATTTTTAGTATGTTATTTTCACAATTGCCATTTTTAAGGTTATGACTTTTGCTAAATTTGATAAAAAAAATATTACAGTAGCAATCGGTCTCAATGCTCCATGTACCAATTCCGGGACTTTCACGATTGACATAATGTGGAACAATTGTTACAATTAATGATTGATGAGTAGGGTTATCGTTATGACGATTGGCAGGCCTTATGCTCAAATAAAACTGCGATCTCATGTTGCTTGTACTCGCCATATTGTGATCTGAAGGGGGATGCCAATGATCTGCCTATTTTATTTTTAACGTCTTCCTACTCCTTTGCATATGATTTTAACAGTGCCGTTGCACGATCGATTTCAGTTTTTATTGTTTCCATTTTACTAGTCACTTCTTGTATTATCCCAACCACATCTAAGCGAGTACGTTTATCGAAAGCACCGTTTGTGGGAATATATCTATGGTCTTTATGATCCAACAATGTACATTCATGGCAAATAAAAACAAAGCACTCTTTACATTGAAATCTAAATGGATCTCCGTGCAGTTTACATCACATAACATCTTTCTCATTGTTGATAGAATTTGGTCTGGTACCGGCAAATAACTCATCCATTTCGTTGAAGCTACTGGATGTATCGTTTGTTGAGACTGCTGAGGTGGACGGCACGCTTGGTGCCGATGAATGTAAAGTATCAGGGAGTCAGGGAGTGACCACATTCTGCTGCGTACACGTCACGTTACTGGAACTGTTAAGTAATGAAAATCCATGTTAATATTGATATGTACATACGTTTCAATGAAGTTACCATTACAATATAGGGATGGAACCGTTGCAAAAGCAAACGTGTGTTAAATTATTGATTAAAAACAAATACGATCGAGCAGGATGAGTTAAGGCCATTAACGCCAGAAAATCATTTTCAATATAGCTTGCGCTATAAAAAAAAACAAAGAATTTAAGAAAATTATAGGTTGTGTCAAAATTGTATACTGCGCTTCTGATTTGAATTTTAGTAGAACAATATTTCATTCATGATTTTGAATCAAGATATATACACAAACATGTCAATCTTTTTTCTATCAAATAACTTTTTTTACGTTAAAAATAGGGTCTATTTTTAACTGTAATATTTGTTTTTATTTTTGACCATACTTTTGACTTTACTATACAACCTTATTAATATATTATTTATTTACAGTACCTAAACCAGAACTGGCTATACTATATCAGAGTTCTCATGAAAATTACAAAATTAATTAGAATCAATATGTGTGTATTATATGTGAAATCAGTGACAATATTTAATTAAACAAATATAATATATTTTTACCCCTGACGGTGGTTGCACTTGAACTCCTTAAATCATTGCCTGACCTGCAATATTAAAAGTGCGGATTGTAAATTATTGCATTAAAAATCATCATCATCTTTAAATAGACTTGTTAGTTAACACGTATATTATACTAATTATTAGTTTAATGTCAGTTTTAGATTCAGCGATAATAAATAATAATTGCTATATATTTATTTAAAAAAAAACTATTTATTAAAAATACTGGATTTTTTAGAAAAATAATATTTATCTTACAGACAAATACTAAATTATTCACTATTTTTAATGCAGTGCTTATTTAAAAACATAGTACAAAAAAGAACGCGTACCAAACATAACCATATAATATCTTATCAGGTTTACGAAAAATTATGCCGAGTAATATCTGTCTTACTCTTTAGTACCTACCCTACAATAAAAAATAAAAACACCATAAGTTTACAAAGCGGCCAATAT